AGGTCTACAGTTCGAATCTCCCTACAGCCTACAACCTACGGCGACCTACTTACCACTGGCTATCGTGCAGGTCACGGGTTCAACTCCAGGGAACTGTGCAGATACTGTACACAGGTAAGCTGAGGTCAAAGGATCGAGCCCTGGGATCTGCATCGGCTACTGCCAAAGGTGAAAACTGTTTCAGGGCGCCCAACTGTACAGAAAATAGGGCCCAGTAGGGCAGATCGAGGTCTTGAGCCTCGCACTTCTGTGCCATTTCCTTTTGCTGTTATCAAACTGGCCTCGAGCTCGAATTGTGACAGAATTCAAGAGTACGATAAGTTAGTGGTCATCGTTCTTTTTCTTCGCTTTTGTTTTTGTCGTCTTGTGCTGTTTCATTTTACTTTTAGTAAACAGGTCATGAGCTCAGATGGTGATGGAATCAGATCGATACAGTCATGTTAGGGGTGCCCTTTTCGTGCAAGTACGCCCTCAGACATGTACAGCAGTGTCAGGGTTCTTTTTTTTTCTTTTTTTTTGGTCGTATGCTCCGTTTCGTTTAACCCCCCGGCATGGCTTTGCAGCTCTGCACCGTTTTTCAAGCTGTACTGGGCTTTGCAGGTTTGCGCCGCTTCCCGAGCTGTACTGACCCCCCTCTGGGCATGCTTTGCAGCTCTGCACCCTTTTCCGAGCTGTATTGCCCACTTACCCTGGCGTGCACTGCAGCTCTGTGTCGTTTCCCTAGCTGTTTTGGCCCCTGGGTGTGCTTTACAGCTCTGCGGCATTCGTGGTTTGCAGCTCTGCGGCGTCTCCTGAGCTGTATTGCCCCCTCTCCGCCGGCTTGCTCCGCACCGTTCCCCAAGCTGTATTGCCCTCCTCCAGGGCATGCTTTGCTGGTTTGCTCCGTTGCCGAGCTGTATCTGAATGAAGGGACCAGGTGGTGGAAGCACACACCTGGCCCATGTGGTGAACAGTACACATGTAACTGTTAGTAAACAGGTCATGAGCTCAGATTGTGGTGGAATCAGATGTTAGGGGCTTTGCCTGTTTCTCAAAGAAACAAGGAAAAAAAAGAGGTACACAGGGAGGGCCTCCAACACATGAAGTTCATTGGGGTTCTCTCTCTGGGAGGGAAGTTCTGTTTGGTTCTTTTTTGGGGGAGGAAGGGGAGAGGGTCTTGCAGCCCAGCCCACGTACGGTCATATCCACATACCCGTTTTTGGCAAAATATGTGCCCAGATGTCCTGCTTGTGGGAATTACAGAAACATCTCTGAAGCCAGTTTGAAAACGAACAGGGACAAACAAAATATTTCAAATAGCAAGGAGAAAGCTGAAAGCACACAGGATTTTACAATATTTACATTTATGGTAGAAGTCAGAGGCTGCTGCAAAATAGTCCATTCTTGCACTGACAACACCATCTCAACTTCTCAAGCAATATCAAAGAGATGCAGAGGATACCTGTTGTTTTGTGGCTTTTCTGATCTCTCTCTCTCTCTCTCTCTCTCTCTCTCTCTCTCTCTCTCTCTCTCTCTCTCTCTCTCTCTCTCTCTCTCTCTCTCTCTCTCTCTCTCTCTCT